AAGAAGAAGAAGAAGAAGAAAAAGAAGAAGAAGAAGAAGAATAGGTTATATATCCATCCAGATAAAGCTGAGATTTAACATGTCTCTTCCCAGGGTTACCCCTGCACCCCTAAAGAAATCATAGAATAGAACATCATTACAGAGGAATAACATTACATTATATATAAACCTCAATAAACTGGTCTTGTTTGATCATAAGCATTGATGTAGGACCGCACTTTTATTGGAATATGCAATATAATAATTGGATCAGTGATATTTGGCATAAGATTATTTTTGAGTTGATTCCCGGGAGCGTCTCGTATTACATCAAGAGACAGGCCAGTTTTATAAAGTCTGGACTATCGGGACACTCATCTTTGCCCTATTATATGACGAGGAATATTGTCATTGTATAACTCTCTAGACATTGAACCTTTTTTTGTCCTATTCTTCATCTTTTTGAAATATGTTATTGTTTTTTTCTAATCTGTTTGATTATGGTGTAGTCCAGTTTTATAAGACTGAGCTATTTGTGTTCTTTTTGTTAAGAGGTTTTTTTTTTTTTTTTTGGTGATGTCTCGTTATATTTATGTATTATAATGAAAATTCAATAAACATAATTATAAAATATATATACTGTATATATAATAATGACAGACAGACAGACAGACAGACAGATAGACAGATAGATAGATAGATACTACAAAACAAAAACACACATAGATAGATAGATAGATAGATAGATAGATAGATAGATAGATAGATAGATAGATAGATAGATAGATAGATAGATAGATAGATAGATAGATACAGGTCCTTCTCAAAAAATTAGCATATTGTGATAAAGTTCATTATTTTCCATAATGTAATGATAAAAATTAAACTTTCATATATTTTAGATTCATTGCACACCAACTGAAATATTTCAGGTCTTTTATTGTTTTAATGGGCTCTATGCACGGCGGTATTTCAGGTGAAGGTCTAAGGATGCTGGATTACTTCCGCCGATCGTAGAGTCCAATGCTATACCGAGAATTTATATTGGTTTTTATACTCTATTGCTATACTAAAGAAACATTAGTCACAAAAACAGACAAAACAGACACCCCTCATTTTGTTTATGCTTCTTTGTTTATTATATTAAATAAACACAACTATATATAAAATTACATCTAAACATATTAAAGTTTCGTTTCAAAGACGAGAGGACAGTAAATTTTGAAGACTCTGCCATAATCCCGTTTTCCTCGGTTTTCCTCCGCTTTAAATCTCCCCAACCGGAAACGCAAGAGCATCCTTGCATCAAACGCGGAAGTTATGCGTGCATATAGCCCATACTGATGATTTTGGCATACAGCTTATGAAAACCCAAAATTCCTGTCTCAAAAAATTAGCATATCATGAAAAGGTTCTCCAAACGAGCTATTAACCTAATCATCTGAATCAACTAATTAACTCTAAACACCTGCAAAAGATTCCTGAGGCTTTTAAAAACTCCCAGCCTGTTTCATTACTCAAAACCGCAATCATGGGTAAGACTGCCGACCTGACTGCTGTCCAGAAGGCCATCATTGACACCCTCAAGCAAGAGGGTAAGACAGAAAGAAATTTCTGAACAAATAGGCTGTTCCCAGAGTGCTGTATCAAGGCACCTCAGTGGGAAGTCTGTGGGAAGGAAAAAGTGTGGCAAAAAAACGCTGCACAACGAGAAGAGGTGACCGGACCCTGAGGAAGATTGTGGAGAAGGACCGATTCCAGAGCTTGGGGGACCTGCGGAAGCAGTGGACTGAGTCTGGAGTAGAGACATCCAGAGCCACCGTGCACAGGCGTGTGCAGGACATGGGCTACAGGTGCCGCATTCCCCAGGTCAAGCCACTTTTGAACCAGAAACAGCGGCAGAAGCGCCTGACCTGGGCTACAGAGAAGCAGCACTGGACTGTTGCTCAGTTTTGCATGTCATTCGGAAATCAAGGTGCCAGAGTCTGGAGGAAGACTGGGGAGAAGGAAATGCCAAAATGCCTGAAGTCCAGTGTCAAGTACCCACAGTCAGTGATGGTCTGGGGTGCCATGTCAGCTGCTGGTGTTGGTCCACTGTGTTTTATCAAGGGCAGGGTCAATGCAGCTAGCTATCAGGAGATTTTGGAGCAATTCATGCTTCCATCTGCTGAAAAGCTTTATGGAGATGAAGATTTCATTTTTCAGCACGACCTGGCACCTGCTCACAGTGCCAAAACCACTGGTAAATGGTTTACTGACCATGGTATTACTGTGCTCAATTGGCCTGCCAACTCTCCTGACCTGAACCCCATAGAGAATCTGTGGGATATTGTGAAGAGAAAGTTGAGAGACGCAAGACCCAACACTCTGGATGAGCTTAAGGCCGCTATCGAAGCATCCTGGGCCTCCATAACACCTCAGCAGTGCCACAGGCTGATTGCCTCCATGCCACGCCGCATTGAAGCAGTCATTTCTGCAAAAGGATTCCCGACCAAGTATTGACTATTGAGTGCATAACTGAATATAATTATTTGAAGGTTGACTTTTTTTTGTATTAAAAATACTTCTTTTATTGGTCGGATGAAATATGCTAATTTTTGAGACAGGAATTTGGGGTTTTCATGAGCTGTATGCCAAAATCATCAGTGTTAAAACAATAAAAGACCTGAAATATTTCAGTTGGTGTGCAATGAATCTAAAATATATGAAAGTTTAATTTTTATCATGACATTATGGAAAATAATGAACTTTATCACAATATGCTAATTTTTTGAGAAGGACCTGTAGAGAGGGAGGGAGGGTTCCAGAAATCAACAGTAGTGCACTTGTAGAAACACTCAATATTGTAATCAGAGGCTCATTTTACTAATTTGCTAACATTTTACTGATAATTTTAATATATTGAAAATATTCCTGTACATGGAAAAGCTTAATGTCGAGCCCTGGCACCTTTATTAAAGGAAATAGGAAAGTAAGGAGCTTTTTGGGTCATTTTCTGTGATAGAAAAAAAAAATCATACACATTGTTTGCATGGATTTGGTTGCATATGTGTTTTTACATCGAATCAGATAAATGTACAGTCCTCTAAAACAAATACACAATTGAATTGATTAGACAGGATTATAGTGAAACTGCAGAGGTGTGGATCTAATGATCTGAGCAGAGAGACAGTAATGAGGCTTTAGAGAGACAGTAATGAGGCTTTAGAGAGACTGGTAATGAGGCTGGCCACAGTCATGTTCGTTGGGAATAAAGCGTCAGGCAGGAACAGGCTTAGATCTAATGCACAGATGCTATTATTTTGACAGACAATGTCGAAATGAATGCCACACTATGGTACTACTGTATGTGTGTTTTTGTTAGCAAATTAGTAAAATGAGATCTATCTATCTATCTATCTATCTATCTATCTATCTATCTATCTATCTATCTATCTATCTATCTATCTATCTATCTATCTATCTATCTATCTATCTATCTATCTATCTATCTATCTATCTATCTATCTATCTATGTGTGTTTTTGTTTTGTAGTAGTACTTAATTAACACTTGCTTGAATAGTTGTATAACCAACAGCAGTGTTACTCTCAAATCAATGTTAGACAGGTGAAACATGACAAGAAAAAAATAACACGACAAGATATAACTTTGTGTTATAGAAATATGTTGAAGGAATTGATTCAAATAACAAACTCTGAAAAACTGAACTGTTTTGTTAGCGGGTTAATAAACTCACTCAGATCCTACATGCAAAAGAATCTCAATTATAGAATGTTATTTGTGCATCAGTGTCAAAACAAAGGCAATCTTTGACATTTCCTCTAATGGTGATGAATGTGAGTGAGCCTGTGTCATACTGACACACACCAGCGGCTCATGAATACAAGCAGAAGAAAGGCAGAGAACGACAGCAAGAGGAGGAGAGAGGAGGAGAGATGAGGATCCTGCGTCCCGCTGCTGTAATAGCTAGCTTGGGTTGGTGTGTGGAATGAGAAGAGGAGATGTGAGATAAAGAGAAGCTGTGTGTTGGAGGAAGATGGCGAGCAGTGGAGGATGATTGGCTGAGCTGTGAGGAGGCGTGGCCAGAGTCTGAATGATTTGTGCGACAGTTACCAGAGAAAGAGGAGGTGAGAGACTGTGTGCGTTCAGCGCTCGTGTGTGTGTGTGTGTGTGAGGGGGTGTACAAGCGCAGGAATAATCGCAGAGATCCTGTTCTGCAGGAGCGGTGGGGTTCTGCTGTGCTGAGAGGACTCAGGCTTTATACCTGGACTGAAGAGCACAGAGGACAGAAGGGGCTCGATGGACTGGACCTGCTAATGCTCAGACCTCTGAACCCTGAAGCAAACACAGACGGATAAAGTGAGATAGATAGAGAGGCTATCAGACGCAGAGGCTGAGGTAGAAGGAGAAAGAAGCAGTCTGGATAAAGGGAACACGATTTTAAGGAAAGAAACGTACAAAAGGTTTGCCAGAAAATGAGAAGCAGCATGAGGGACAGGTTGAAGAGATGATGCGTTGGTTCAAAACTGAAGATTGAAACCTTGATTAGCAAAGCAGTGCAATCCTCTGTGTATTAAAAAACGTGTCAGTTCTGTTTTCATCTGTCCATTCACGCTGTCTGGGAAACCTTCAGCTGGTTTGGAGGTCAAGAAAATACTGGACATTTGGCACAGTCCAGGCGTGAGTGGGACGACTCCGGGTTTCTTTATCAGACCTGTCTGAAGCATCCAGGTGTGCCGAGGGTCGATTACTCGTCAGGCACCAGCGGCAGCTCGGACATGTTGAAACGAGTCTGGTCCAATGTATGTTTGTGGTAAGGCATCTTTCCCAATGAAGCGGCGTTACAGCACCGGTGTCATTGATCCAGCAAGGTCCAGTGAGTATTAATCACATTGCCGGAACTGAATGAAGTGCGTCTGGAAGATATTGAATCAGCAGTTAAAAGTGATTAAACACTGAGGACTGTGGGTGGACCTTTCGTTGGACTTTGATCCTCAAATGTCTACACCTTGTAACATTTGCCTTGTGGACCAAAGACTGTTGCATCTGGTCAAGTTCCTGTTTTAAAAAATGCAAACTCCTTTTGATAAAAAAAAACAAATAATGTCCATGTTTTAAGGACAGCGGGCTTGTGCTTTCCAACTTGCTAGTTTTTCACGTTTCCTACTTTGTGACTTGTCTTGTAAAAGTGGGGATCATCTGGCCTGTGGGGGTCCGGGCTCCGGCCCCAGCCCCGGCCCCCGACCCAAAGATGCGGCGCTCGAGTACAGACGAGACCCCGTACCGCCGCAGTCCCTCTCTGGACAGCAAACCGGGCTCTCCTCCTCTGCGCTACAGCGGGGAGTACGAGTACCACAGCTCACCCTTCATCTTTGGCATTCGCACCACCCCAGGGTCGCAGAAAGCGAAAGCCAGCTACACCACAGCACAGGGCAGAAAGTATGTGGTGTTTTACCTGGACCTGTCCTTCATCTTCCTCCTAGAGCTGCGGCGCTGCAGGATGGCCGAGGGATGCCTGAGGGCCCTGAGATACGGCATGGTGTTCTTCAATCTGCTCTTCTGGGTGAGTCTGATTCCTATACAGATCATCTCTTCTGTTATTCTGTTCAAATGAGAGAGAGAATGTTAAAGGAATAGTTCACTCAAACATAAAAAGAAAATGCTCCGTATTTACTTGTGTTGTTCCAAACCTGCATGGTTTCCTTTCTTACATGAAACACAGCAGATGTTTAGATGAATGTTTGAGCTACTCTTTCGCATAGAACGACCACTAGTGACCAAGCTCCAAAAATGACCAAAACACCATAAAATTATCATAAACATAGTCTATGCAACTTGTACTCTATATTCTAAAGTCATTATGATGTGAGAGCTATCCGACTCAGACTCCAGTGATGAAGACTCCAGAATTGACTGAGACTCCAGTGATGAAGACTCCAACCTCGACTCAGACTCCAGTGATGAAGACTCCAACCTCGACTCAGACTCCAGTGATGAAGACTCCAACCTCGACTCAGACTCCAGTGATGATGATTCCAGATTGACTCAGACTCCAGTGATAAAGACTCCAGATTGACTCAGACTCCAGTGATGAAGACTCCAGATTGACTCAGACTCCAGCGATAAAGACTCCAGACTCGACTCAGACTCCAGTGATGAAGACTCCAGATTGACTCAGACTCCAGTGATAAAGACTCCAGACTCGACTCAGACTCCAGTGATGAAGACTCCAACCTCGACTCAGACTCCAGTGATAAAGACTCCAGATTGACTCAGACTCCAGTGATAAAGACTCCAGATAGACTCAGACTCCAGTGATGAAGACTCCAACCTCGACTCAGACTCCAGTGATAAAGACTCCAACCTTGACTCAGACTCCAGTGATAAAGACTCCAGATTGACTCAGACTCCAGTGATGAAGACTCCAGATTGACTCAGACTCCAGTGATAAAGACTCCAGACTCGACTCAGACTCCAGTGATGAAGACTCCAACCTCGACTCAGACTCCAGCGATAAAGACTCCAGACTCGACTCAGACTCCAGCGATAAAAACTGCAGACTCGACTCAGACTCCAGTGATGAAGATTCCAGATTGACTCAGACTCCAGTGATGAAGACTCCAGACTTGACTGAGACTCCAGTGATGAAGACTCCAGACTTGACTGAGACTCCAGTGATGAAGACTCCAACCTCGACTCAGACTCCAGTGATGAAGACTCCAACCTCGACTCAGACTCCAGTGATGAAGACTCCAACCTCGACTCAGACTCCAGTGATGAAGATTCCAGATTGACTCAGACTCCAGTGATGAAGACTCCAGATTGACTCAGACTCCAGTGATAAAGACTCCAGACTCGACTCAGACTCCAGTGATGAAGACTCCAACCTCGACTCAGACTCCAGTGATAAAGACTCCAGATTGACTCAGACTCCAGTGATAAAGACTCCAGATAGACTCAGACTCCAGTGATGAAGACTCCAACCTCGACTCAGACTCCAGTGATAAAGACTCCAACCTTGACTCAGACTCCAGTGATAAAGACTCCAGATTGACTCAGACTCCAGTGATGAAGACTCCAGATTGACTCAGACTCCAGTGATAAAGACTCCAGACTCGACTCAGACTCCAGTGATGAAGACTCCAACCTCGACTCAGACTCCAGCGATAAAGACTCCAGACTCGACTCAGACTTCAGCGATAAAAACTGCAGACTCGACTCAGACTCCAGTGATGAAGATTCCAGATTGACTCAGACTCCAGTGATGAAGACTCCAGACTTGACTGAGACTCCAGTGATGAAGACTCCAGACTTGACTGAGACTCCAGTGATGAAGACTCCAACCTCGACTCAGACTCCAGTGATGAAGACTCCAACCTCGACTCAGACTCCAGTGATGAAGACTCCAACCTCGACTCAGACTCCAGTGATGAAGATTCCAGATTGACTCAGACTCCAGTGATAAAGACTCCAGATTGACTCAGACTCCAGTGATAAAGACTCCAGATTGACTCAGACTCCAGTGATGAAGACTCCAGATTGACTCAGACTCCAGCGATAAAGACTCCAGACTCGACTCAGACTCCAGTGATGAAGACTCCAGATTGACTCAGACTCCAGTGATAAAGACTCCAGACTCGACTCAGACTCCAGTGATGAAGACTCCAACCTCGACTCAGACTCCAGTGATGAAGACTTCAGACTTGACTCAGACTCCAGTGATGAAGACTCCAAATTGACTCAGACTCCAGTGATAAAGACTCCAGATTGACTCAGACTCCAGCGATAAAGACTCCAGACTCGACTCAGACTCCAGTGATAAAGACTCCAGATTGACTCAGACTCCAGTGATAAAGACTCCAGATTGACTCAGACTCCAGTGATGAAGATTCCAGATTGACTCAGACTCCAGTGATAAAAACTGCAGACTCGACTCAGACTCCAGTGATGAAGACTCCAGATTGACTCAGACTCTAGTGATGAAGATTCCAGACTTGACTCAGACTCCAATAATATAGACGCCAGACTCGACTCAGACTCCAGTGATGAAGATTCCAGACTTGACTCAGACTCCAGTGATGAAGACTCCAGATTGACTCAGACTCCAGTGATGAAGACTCCAGATTGACTCAGACTCTAGTGATGAAGACTCCAGACTCGACTCAGACTCTAGTCATGAAGACTCCAGACTCGACTCAGACTCTTCTAAGTAATAAGTAACTTCTTGTTCTACAACTAACAATTTTATGACAGATGCTTTGGTAAAAGTGCGTCTAATAAAAATATTAAACTTTTTCCCCGCAATTGTTTTTTTTTAAAGTTGCCAGCCAGTGCCAGCATTTTTGATCATTTTCACCAGGGATGCTTCGATCTGCCTTTCGCCTCCGATACGGATTCTGATTCCTGGGATTCAGTATTGGCCGATACAGAGTACCAATCCGACACTAAAATAAAATAAAATAAAACCAGTGCTGAATTACCTAACAAAATGTATGCTTTAATGTGTGGAAGAGACTAGGATCTTTTTTGCCTGATTGATTTAGTTTATCCCTAAATGATAATTAATGAACAAACAAGTAGTTATGGCTGCTGTTATTCATGCATGGATCCTTATGACTCCTGTCGTAGTTAAGGATGGCTCTTCATTGATTCATAATTAGTTAATATCTTCACTAATCATGAGCTCATGTTGAAGTAACTATTAATTCAGGTATTAGTACATGATTATTCATGTACTGTTATTGTAAAGTCTTACCAACATTACTTTCCTAACTTTGTAAAACAAAATAACAAACAGACACAAATATAGTGAATTATTTATTAAATAATTGTGCACCAGTGCAACAACTGTGAATAAAACAATGGCTTCATAAGCTAAATAAACAGGAGTCAGCTCTCTGTAATGGTTTAGTGCAAATAGGAATTTAGCATCCAATACAAAAGCAGCGTAATAAACCAGTAGTTTTAAACAGAAACAAAATATCTTTATAATGGTTAAGTCTGTGCAAATAGATATTTAAAATCAAATGTACAATAAAAAATAAACGAGCCGAAACTGAGAATTGTTTTTTCGAAATGTCGACGTGAATGGCAGCCTTAGTGTGTTGCTCTCCGATTCTTCTTTTGTTTTTGTTTATTGGTTCTGTATTTGGTCATTCTTTATCTATAGTGTTTTACCAGAGACGAACTCCTCAACATTAAGCAACATATACCAGACAATATTTTTCCAGTTTTTGATTATTCAGACGTTTCCAGGTTATGCTCCGCGAGCCGAACGGCGCTCCCAAGTATTCGTCTTTCGAATCTCCGATCACTTCCTAACAAAATGGACGAACTTCTTCTTCTCACCCGCATTAACAAGGACTTTTCATACTCTCGCATTGTGCTTCACTGAAACCTGGAAAAGTGAAGCTACTCCAGACGACACGCTACATCTGCCGGCTTCCAGCTGTTAGAGCGATCGCATCGCGGAGGTAACGGGGTTGTTCAGATGTAACAACGCTAAAGAAGATGTGCTCTCCTAGTGTAGTGGTGCTGTTAGCTGCACGTTCGCTTGTTTGGAAACAGTCTAGCGGAGCACGTTGCTAGCGCATGATGTCACACGCTGGGAGAACAATTAGAGAGATTGAGTCCATCAACACTCTCAAAGCTTCAGTCGTTCCCTGCTCAAGAGTTCAACATTTCATTCAGTAATGTTAGACAGTTTTGATTTGATTTGATTTACGTGTTATTGTACATGTGCGTCAGCAATGCTTCTATTGCTTGTTTCTGCTTCTTCTTCACCTGCGTTTCAATCCAGAGATTCTGTGGTCTTTCAGAAGTAACAGCTCCCCCTACCGTACAACAGTGAAAACACGGATAGGCGGATAATTTCATAAATGCCAGGGAAAGAGTTAATGTGGAGGCGCTGATAGTCTACATTATGGTTGATACTCTTGGTTGTTTTTTTTACTTGGCATTTAGGGTCAGCTGTGTTTGTTGTTTGTGCCACTGTTATTTCCTCACTTGTGTCACAGTGAGGCCGAACACGTGTTAGTGCCAACCCCTCCTGTGTGAGAAGAATGACAGAACAGCAATAGCATATGTCAGGTGAGCTGCTGTTGTTCTCTGTGCTGACGGATCCTCTGGACGTCATCTGTGCTCCAGCGCTCCGGCTGTCAAGCGGCTCCGCTAGTGTCTTTGATAATAAACCACATCTGTGTTGGACAACGTGATTTCTTATTTTGCTCTTATCAAGTGACCACTGCTCAGTCCGGACGACAGCTCATTTACAGAGGACATTTAAAAAAAAATATTCTTAATTTGGCAAATAAGAAAAGCATTGAATAAACATTACAGAAATGCCTTTAAAAGTCAAAATACTGATTGTTGTATTTTATATCATTGATCATAAAGCTGTCAATCCACAGCAATCCTTTGTGTTATTAAGTTTGTCTGTTTTAAGTTTGTTTTTATTAAGCTGATGTAATCTCGGGATTTCCATGTGGCATTAAGATGTGTTTTTGCTAATCCGATCACAAGCAGTCAGAACTAAATATGAATGGAAACAGGGTCTTGTTATTG